GCTGCTGTGGTGGGAGCCCTTCGGGGGCGGCCGCAGCGCCACCAGGCGCCCCCCCGACTGCCGGCTGCGCTTCAACATCAGCGGCTGCCGGCTGCTCACCGATCGCGCGGCCTACGGGGAAGCCCAGGCGGTGCTCTTCCACCACCGAGACCTGGTGAGGGGACCCCCGGACTGGCCCCCGCCCTGGGGCGCCCACGTGCGCCTGACGGAGAATCAGCAGCTGCAGGTGTTGGACGACGAGGAGGAAGCGGCGGAGGCAGCCGTAGCCCTGGCCGCCTCGGGCCCCAGGCCCCCCGGCCAGCGCTGGGTGTGGATGAACTTCGAGTCGCCCTCCCACTCTCCCGGGCTGCGAAGCCTGGCCGGGAACCTCTTCAACTGGACACTCTCCTACCGGGTCGACTCGGACGTCTTCGTACCTTACGGCTACCTCTACCCCCGCACCCACCCCAGCGATCAACCGCCGGGCCTGGTCCCGCCGCTGGCCCAGAAGCAGGGGCTGGTGGCCTGGGTAGTGAGCAACTGGGATGAGCGCCAGGCTCGGGTCCGCTACTACCGCCAGCTGAGCCAGCATGTGGCCGTGGACGTGTTCGGAAAGGACGGGCCCGGGCAGCCGGTGCCTGAGGTTGGGCTCCTGCAGACAGTGGCCCGCTACAAGTTCTACCTGGCCTTCGAGAACTCGCAGCACCTGGATTATATCACCGAGAAGCTGTGGCGCAACGCCTTCCTGGCCGGGGCTGTGCCCGTGGTGCTGGGCCCCGACCGTGCCAATTATGAGCGCTTCGTACCCCGCGGTGCCTTCATCCACGTGGACGACTTCCCTAGTGCCTCCTCCCTGGCCGCCTACCTGCAATTCCTCGACCGAAACCCCTCTGCCTACCGCCGCTACTTCAGCTGGCGCCGGAGTCACGCCGTGCACATCACCTCCTTCTGGGATGAGCCTTGGTGCCGGGCCTGCCAGGCTGTGCAGACGGCTGGGGACCAGCCTAAGAGCATCCGTAATTTGGCTGGCTGGTTTGAGCGGTGAAGTCATCCTCCCCTGGGTAGAACCCAGGGAGGCCAAATCGTCATCTGGATCCTCTTGCTGTGCGTCTCCTTGACTGCCGAATCATGGGACTAAATTTTCCAAACATCCATTTTTAATCCATGGGAACAAGTTGATTTACCAATTACTAATATTCAGCAAAGCGACTGGGTGGGAAGGATGCCCGGGGCTCATGCTTTCTTGCACAAATGGCAGTGGGGCTCCCTCTGTTGTCCAAGAGCATCGGTGCTCTGGGTTGAGGAAGGGAGTCCTTTCTCGCCTAGTACCCAGGGCAGAGGGAGAGAAGTAGCTTAACTACAAAAAAACCATTCAGTTGCTCTGAATTTCCTCATCAGCCGCAGGCCGTATTTGTGGCCTGTGCTGAGTGTCACACACTGCTCCTCGATTCACGTATCACTGGGCCAAATGCAGCAAACCCTGATTTTAGAAAGAGCCTTGTTGCAGGGTAGTGAAAGCCCTGTCTCCTAAGAAAGGTGAGGAGGGTGATCCAAGAATCCATTGCCTTCCTTAACAAGTACTGTTTTTCCCTTGCTTCATAAATGGAAGCAGGATGCTGGATTGTCCTTGGAGAAGAGTTAAGTTAAATATGTGGTGTACCTCACTTTACACAAAGTTATTCCTGAGAAGCCGCTTTTGAATCAAACTCACTTCTTTAGGAGAGCTCAGTGTTTAATAGAAGCTATGGAGAATCCGTTTACAGTGTGAATAATCATCTCCCGACTTACTTCTTCTGTGTCTCTGTTTTTCTATAACTTGGATTTTTTTGAAAGCATATTAAAATTACAGATGTGAAAATAAAGCAAAGCAACCTTCTCCCTTCTTCCCAGAAAGCCAGCCTGTGTTTACAAACAGAAGAGAAGGAAGCCATAATGTCACTTTCCACAAAGTTATTTATTTTGTGTCTTTCCTGGAGCTGAAATTTAAACTGGAATGTCCGTCCCCACCCCACTTCACGCCCTCCCGAGCTACTGGCATTACCTGTCTGCAGAAAATGAAATTGTCCTGCCTTTCGGAACCTTGCAAAAGGAAAAAGTTTCATGGTGTCTGTTAATGGCAGTTACTGTTTGTG